CTCCCTCAAAGTACAGCGGGCCTTTGCCCCTCTCAGCCGGCGGCGGGCCCTGGGAGCTGCCTGCGGCCCCGCCCCGGGCGGCGGTGGCTGGGCGGTGAGACGGGGCGAGGGGGGAACTGCGGACACGCCGCTCGGCAGGGACGGGACCCGCAGTCCGAGCTGGTGCTGTGTGGCAAAAGCAGTTCCTGAAATAAGTTATCGTCTCCCTATTTGTGCTAATGCTGTTGGAAGACAGATAACTTTGTTTAAGGGAGAATTTTTCGTCTTCTTTTCCCTCTGTCTACCCAGCACAGGCAGACCTTCTCAAGTGAAGGGCCAGTAGAGGTTTTCGTGAGGTGTTTTTGGAGGAGTAGTTTTAATTGGCCTTTTTGCCCGGTTTTATTTATATTTTGCCTGTTGCAGTGCAGGAGTGACACTGGAGAGTTTCTTTGATGCCTTTGACACTTATATACTATCAGAATGTACCACTGATTTTTTTTTTATGTGTACATTTCATGCCTTTTGGTTGCCTCTTTATGAATTTCTCTTGTTAAATGGGACTGGCTGAGGCTTTTCATCCTCTCGCTGCTGTACGCAGAGTAATTTGATAAAACCAAAAAGAAGCATTGGTGTTAGAGACAGCTAAAGTAGCCTGGTTAGAAATTTACCAAATCAAACATTTCTGTATGTAGCCAGTTGTTTTTACATTTGTTACCATTTACAGGATTTTTCAGTGGTAAAATATTTAAGCTAAAACTTGTACAGATATTTACTGTTTTAATCCAACAGTTTAAGATATTTACAGTTGGAAGTATCTTAACTAAGGTGGAATTTTGCAGGCTTTGCACAGACATCTGAAAAATCCTTTGTGGATTTATAGCTGTAGTTTCTGTTTTGATAAAGTAAGGATTGCAGTTACGTTGTCCAGATTTTGGCAACATAGAATCATAGAATAGTTCTGGTTAGAAGGGACCTCTAAAGGTCATCTAGTCCAACCCCCATAAATAAGGCATCTACATAGCAGATTTCCTTTATGTTACTAGCCTGTGGTTTGAGCTTGACTTCAGATGGTAAGCAAGCTGTATATAGTTTGAGTTCAGATTTTTTTTCTTTGTCCTGTACACTAGTATTCTTATAAAACACTGAAATAAAGAGAATAGGTTTTCCTCTCTTGTCAGCTTTGTACATAAATATCTCTGAAAGATCTTCCTCTGATGTTTTTCTGTCAGTTACTAAGTGATAGCCAGGCTTCTACAAGTTTTACTTAACATGCCCCTCCTCCAGTGAGAAAATCTGGTCCATCGAATCTCCTTGAACTGTAGAAAGATGATGAGGACATCCATACTGGAGTAATTCAGTACAGTTATTTTCATAGTCCTGTACTGTTTAAAGTTACTACTCTCCTAGCTCGGCTTAAACGTGCATGAGTCTGTGTCTTCATCTACGGGTGTAACTTACAGAATTGTACTTGCAGATGAGTGAACTCTCAGTAGCGCACCACCGTTGAAATTATTCCTTGAAATAAGGAAGTAATAAACCATTGTAGTAGTTATCCTCCAACATATTGCAGTTGCCACTGCCAGGCATCTCTAAGATGAAACTAGATATTTGTATATTGAGTTGCTTTAATCCAGTTTCGGGGCAGTGGATGGGGATGAGTGGTTGTGGCGCCCCCTGCTGACAGTCTGACCGCCTTGTCAATGGGGTAGCCTCCTCTGTGGTTGCTACACTCTTACTGCACTCCACATTTGTAGCTTTATCTTAAGAATATATATATATATAGTAAGACCTTAAAAAATCAGTGAGTTGACTTCGGACACGTGGAACAAGTTATTTTCCATAAAGCATCATTCATGAAAGACAGTCTTGTGGGTTTTTGGATCCCAGCTGTGTATAGGACACTGAACAGTGTGACTGAGATCAGTTGATCTACCAAGAAAGCTTTTTCTCAGTTGCCTGATGAGAAGGTTTATAAGAACAGCTGGGTGGGTTTTGTTTTTTTTTAATTAATATTATTACATGAATTGATACACTATGGGAAGGAGAACGAGTCTGGTGTGTTGGTTGGGTGGTTTGTTGGTTTGTTTTTTGGTTTGGTTTTTTTTTTTGAGTTGAGATATTAAGATATTCCTTCTGACCATAACTGCTATAACAGCCCTGCTATTTTATAACAAGCAGTGCATAGTTGGGGAAAGAGCAGAACAAGTTTAAAGAAAACAAACAACAAACCACGCATCTGTCAAGCCTGATGGTATGTAGCCTCATATAGGGGCATCTTTTCTACATATATGAGAACAGGAAAGGAGAAGGGAAGGAATGATTCTTGTAAAAACAGTTTATAAAGGATAAAAAGTAAAAGTGGTTGATTTGAAACTTTATCATCCCACAATTACATAAATGGTAAGCCAAGAGCAGATCTAAGAATTGCTAAGTCCTGAGTTTTGAGACAGGATGTGGTACTTTCACTGTGACACTGGTGACAGTGATTGTGCAAATTATTGCGGCCTTTGTGTTTTCCTGTCTGTAATGCTAAAGATAATACTTCATTGAGTATGTAATGATTAATTTATAAAATGCTTTGAACATCCAACCTACTGTGAAATTTCCAATTAATGTATTATTGCAATATCTAACTAGTTCATGTAAGATAAGCAAAATAAAACATTGTTTTTCTGAGCAGGTTCATGAATGATGCTCAAAATAGATTCACTTCAATTTGGTTAATAATGAGGAATTTGTTTTCTATTATTGTAGAAGTATACTTAATTTCACTAGTGCTAGCATCCAAAATGACAACAATATTTGATACATAGGGACTATGAGGAAGAAAGAAGGAACAAAGTTATTCCAGAAGGAACGGTTAACATTTATGTAGGAAAGACTGTCAAAACAACTTCTATAATAAAAAAGAAGGATGTACTGCAGACTTCAAAAAGAGATTTATTCATTTTACTGACTGACATGTTTGCAAAGTGGTGCAGAAAAATCTACATGCCTTAGGGCATGGAAAACATGCATTATTAACTCTGTTTTTAAAAGGCTCTTTAACTTCATTGTTGCCAGATGGGATGAGAAAAGATAAGTGTCCTGCACTGCAAATGGCCTCCTGCTCGACATTTATTGTTTGCTAGTCTGGAGTCAGCTTTGGTGGATGAAGAAGGTTGATGACTCTAAGGTTTGTACTAGAAAGCTGATTTTATGCTTGCATTCCATAATGTAAAAGGACTGTGTGAAACTCAGAAGTCCTTTGTGTTTAGGCAGCCTAAAGCATGTAACTGCATGTTGCTGCAGTCATGTTTTAAATAAAAATTGTGGGATTCAGTATTGGTTTGCAGGTCTTTTGAGCAACAAGGATTACTTTTCCAGCCTGGATAATTATTTTGTGTGGTCTAGGTCTTGCATGGTTTTTATTAGCATACATCTTTGATCTTTATTGTAAAGGCAACTTAGGAAATTAAGTAATTAAATGAATTTGACAAGGTTATTGCTTAATAACCTAACAGAGTCTAAGCTGTGTTCATAAGTATAGTATTTGACTTCGTTAATTAGATCAGAAATTAGCCCCTTCTATGAAATCTAACATGCATTGTTAAATATAATATTAGGGTAACCTAGTAAAGCAGAAATTTATTTTTACAATGCAGCTTCATTTAAGTCAAGTCTTGGCCTATAGCTGAAACAATGCAGTGCTTCTGAACAGCTTGGAGCTTGGACTGAAGGATGAACTTGAAGATGGGCTTTACTGTGTTGTGGTTTTTTTTTTTTATTCTCAGTTCTTTTATTTTTTTACTTACAGATGTTTGACAGAATCAAACCATCTGATGAAGCTTCTGCTTCTTCAGCACAAGGTGAGAAGTTTAAAGCAGATGTTTGTGTTGCAGTTACTCTTTTTTTTTAAATGTAATAATTAACAGTAGAAGCATTAGTTCACCTTGTAGTTTCAATTGCTTATTTTGATTTCCTAAATTTCATTACAGAACTTAGATGGAAGAAGTGACTTCTGAATCATCCACAGAGTTTCCATGTAGACGTAATTTTCTTGTCCTGTAATAAGCTGTTTTAAGACATGCTACATTTTATCTCAGTGATCACGGATGTAGCAGTATAAATGTAGATTGCCTAGTCTTGATTCCAGACAAATCAGTAGAAAAATTCCCACTCACCTCAACCATGAAAGAGTAAAGCTTGTTTTATGAAGCTCTTAGAGGACCTTTGAGGACAAAAGGATCTCTCTCTACATGCTTTCTTGAAGATACTAAATTTTTTATCTTCCTTTAAAATAGTAATTTTGACAAATGCAGTGTAAGAGAAGTAACTAATTGCAGGTAGAACTCTTCCATCTCTTTGATATTCTGTTTGTTTGTTTTCTTTAGGAATTGAAAGACATGGTGTTGAAGGCTCTCTACAACAGGACAGCAATAGCAGGTAAGTTAGGTGATGATCTAACTGGCATCTAGCTTACTGCTTACACAAGTAAAACAGGAAGAATGTTTTTTTCAACCTTATCTGTTATCTTGTGTAATGGATGACAGTGACACAGTATAGATCAAGTGTATGATGGACATCCTTTTCATCTTGTACCCACATACTATTAAAAACTGTGGGGAAGGTGCATTGTAATGCCCAAAAGTAATGTGTGGGTGTCAAGATTTCTTTGTCTTTGGTCTATTTTTTTTAATTTCACAATACTAAAAAACAGAAGAATGAAAAGATGACTCTGCCTTTTTCTGGAGAGACAGTTCTCTTCAGATTTCAGCGAACTGAAATAAGCATTTGTGTTAGCTGTGCCTTCAACCTGTTATCCTTTGTTCTGCAATTAAGAAAAATTTTCTTTAGCGAAATTTGCTTGGGAATACCTTAAAATATGTAGTCCTACTTGCCATTACAATTCTGAAATAGAAACGTTTATCTTGCAAGTTTGTTCCAGCTCTATAGTAAGATAGATATTTAGAATTTCTATGTTAAGAACATGAATTAAACAATCCAACATGTCTTGGTAATATTACCTGCTTCTTTCAGTTTACACACAAGAGGTCAAGAACATCCTCGGCCAGGAGTAGCCACTGTGCAAAATAGACAAGGATACTGCAACTGTTGCCACGTACACTACAGTAATCTGGAACAGGTGAGAAGGCTTCTGCGTAATTCAGCAACAGATAGCAAGGAGTACCAAAAGGCTTTATCAGCTTATAAAATATCAGTCTCTACACTGAACAACCAATACTGAATGAAAAATAATCAATTTGTGAATTGCACAATGTGTACACTGAAAAGAAGGTACCCTTCTTATCTGTTACCTGTTGAAAAGATGCTGGTGGAGTGGCATGGCTACTGCAGTCTGCTTTTCTGAAGTGGCATGCTGCTGTGCATTGCATCCATTAGGTTTATTTCTGTGGCTTTAATCTTGAGATCAGTATATATTTTAAAGTATTAGGGTTAATACGTTAGATATCAAGGCTGAAGACATTTGATCAGCTATTTTCTGTTCTTTAACTCTGTCAGTCTCCTGTCTTTTAGACTTTTTTAATTAGAAAGTAGAAGTCTATTTAATCTTCTATGCTTATGAAAATTCTCCTTAATTCAAGTGAATTATAGGATGTTTACTCATATGAAGTTGAAGAATATTTTAATGCATTTATAGATACATTTAGAGTATTTATACTAGTTACAAGAGACTTGTGAGCAGCTGTCAGAGCTGCTAATTTAGGTTCCAACTCAGAAAGATTTCAATACACTTTATTATTATTTGAGACTCCCTAAGCATGCTTAAAAATCTCATTGAATCAAGGCCTTAAAGTAGAAAAGGCTGAAGACTTTTCTTTTTATTTAAATATTTTCATAGCAACAGTGTAATGTTTAACCTGGGCAGTAATTTTTAGGAACAGGCCAGTGTGTTAACAGTAGTATTAAACTAGTGATCTGTTTTATCTTTCACCAGCATATTTTCAGCTCTCAGCACAGACATTTTACCACTTACTGTAGGAATCGTATGGGTACCAGTAGCTTGATGGAGCGTTTCCTGCAAGATGTTTTACAGCATCATCCGCACAGATACCATGACAACAGGTATAATACAGGTGGCTTTTTTTTTTTAAATATGTGTTGGTAGAATGCATGTGTTATGAGTTCTTATTTCTGTTCCACTGCTGAGCAGTAAATTTTGCCCATTTGAGGTGAAACTTTCACATTGAAGACAATTTAGAAAGGAGTGTATTTATATAAACATTATCCAAGTATATTGCTTTTGTGTTATCTCTGCACTTTTAAAATTTGTTTCACTACTTAAGGATTTGATACAACACTATTGATAGCAATTAAATGTGAAGACCTGAAAAAAGGAATATATGGGTCAGCGGGTATAATGGCAGACTGTACAGTCTGACATGCATTTACAAATTCTTATAATTTGGGCTTTATATATATTATTCTTATAATTCTGGGCTTTATATATATATATTTAGCACTATATTTTATGGTATGTTTTGAGAGAGTTCATAATTTTGGTTTGTTTGTGGATAATGTCAGTTAAATATGTATATGTTTGGTTTTTTCATTATCCTTACAGTTCACACATTAACTTAAATACTTACATGAATTACATTAATTGGCTAATTCATTAATGCTCAGATTTTGAAAAGTGTTCTCTCTATTTATCATGTGCATGTTTAAGAGTGGTAAGAGGGTCACTGTGTAAGTTTTTCTCTGTAGATGAAGGGAAGTCAATTTAATCTCATTCCTTGTTTGTTATGTTCTGCAAGGCAGACAAAAATCCCAGTCTGAACCTAGTACAGTGTATCTTGATATACAACTCTGCTATAGATCTGACAAACAAGTAGAAGGGTATTTTGTTTGAAGGCAGTCATATTGATATTATCAGGGATGTGACAGAACAAGCTAATAGGCATGTCTATGATAAATTAGCCCAGGACATGTACACATCACTACAAATAAATAAATTAATCCTTCCATCTCAAATAAATAAATTTAATCCGTCTAGTTCAAGAACATCCACATTTTTTTGCTATGGAGAAAATACAGGATTCACTTTAAGGCAACACCCAAATGAAAAAAGCCCTCTCTTGAGGTGTTGCCTAATACAAGGTTATTCCTTTGGTGAACGAAACCTACTGACGAGGAAGAACAAGCTACCCATGTTCCTCTAAGTTGTTGGAAAAAGGAATGGAATGAGAAAAATGTACAATATCTAGATGAAGCTGGAGGGAGAAGGGAGAGGAGTAATCCCAAATCTAGACAGAGTTTGGAGGAAAGACAGCAAAGATGGAAAAGAAAGAGTGAATAGATTTATGTTGTGATCCTGATCTGAAAAATGACTGAAAAGTCACATTCTTAACTGACATCTGAGGTAAGAACTGGATTCTCTTCTTTCATACATAAAAACACTGAATTGATACACAGTTTCACTCAGTTCTTAAATACCTGTTTTTACTATTTAGCTGAATTCACACAAGGGATCTTAAGAGTGTTATTTAAAAGGATTATAGAAATATTTGTGAGACTTGATTTGTTTTGCAGAACCAGTATACCTAGTAGTGATGTGGAAAAAGGAAAAAAAAAATAATCAGAGCTTTGCCTTATACTGAATTTCAAAGGATATTGGTGTTCTGCCCCTCCCTCAGTAAAAAACCCCACAAACCAACAAATCATTCCTTCCTCCAAACTCTTGGTGTAGAAGTTTTTTACATAAAGAAATAATATTGAGCATTTAAGAGAGTAAATCTTCACTCTGCTTTTGGGGGTAACTTGTAGCAAAACTGTCAGAAGTTCCTAACTGTATGGAACTGTAGTTCTGTTCCCTCCACCCCAGAGACATTTGCTTATAAGTAATTTTTGAAAATTGCTGTTAAGCAAGCTAGAAGCCTAGGAATTTGCTACAGTTTATCCATACCAAAATCCATTTAGTCCTATATTCGGTCTTTCAGCAGTATCCAGATGCCAGGTGTTTCACACAAAGGTGGAAGAACTGTGAAGTGAGAAAGTTAAAAGATTATTTCTGCTGCCTTTGGCCTTCCCTTTAGGTCTAATTCTGATCTGCAAGATTTTGAAGTCTGAACAAAGGTCCTTTATCTCGGAGCTTAGGTGGACAAGAATGCATGCAGCAGTAGGGCACAGCAGTTCAGCTGACAGGCATTGTTTGATCATCTGATGTATTTGATTACATTGCATTCATATGATAATAGAAATAATCCTCTTTAATGTTTCATTATATGAGGTTTCTCCTTTTGCTTAGTCAGTCCTATAACCCTTATCTGTACTCTGGTGAATTCTATCCCCTTTGCTTGGATAACCAGAATTCCACTGTATTCTAAAAGATGATACACCTTTGAGGAAAATGTTATATTTTTGGAGTACGCAAGGAATATTGCAGGCTGTGTCATAAAATTTTATTAATTTTCTTTTAAAATAACACATCTTGAGCAGGGAGGAGTTGTATACTGCTGTTGGTGAATCGATATGGCTTGTTAGGGTCATGCAAGGTGTGTTGTAAGTTTTATCCCTTGTTTATCAAAATTTGGCTGAACATCCCTATTGTGTTCCTTTACTTAAATTATTCAGAGGGTCCTTTTAGCATTTCCTTGTCATCTGAAGATTTTAATACTTTACTCTTCAAAAATTTTGAAAGGGGCAAGTCAGTCATTAAACTTAGCCTGAACTGGAGGACGTTCTGCTTCCAATCTTGCGTTGTGATGATGAGTGATTGTTCAACCCTCCTATTTGATATTAGCAACCAGTTCTTGGTGTTTGATTGGGGTCTTTTTGCCTCCCCCAATGATTATTTAGCTTTGTAATAGACTCCCAGGGACCTTAATGAAAGCCTTTTGCGTATCGAAGTAGTACATCTTTTCTTCTTTATCTACTCCTTTATCACTGACTAACACATGATCCAGAGATTAGTGAGATGCAACTTTTCCTTTTGAGAAACCTTGATGGTGGCTAGATCTTATAGTCTTCCAGCTATTTTATTTTATTTTAATTGTTGTTACTTGAGCTAACTTGCCAGGTACAGCTCTAAAAGCTTTTAGTTGCTATGAAACTTCTTGTATTGCCACCTATAACTTCATTACGTTTTTAAATGTCAGCAATGTATTTATCACCTTCCAGTCTTTTGTAACTGTAATTATTTATAATAGAAAAGTTTTGTTGTGGCATTTTTTCCTTCAGACTTTCAACCTGTGATTGTGTTCCATATGCATTACCAGGAATAAAACCAAGGTCTGTGGCAGGTATCAATTAAACATCCTTTACAGTAAGGAGGAAAAATATAATTTGGCATCTCAATTATGTCAGTTTTTGTTTTGTTCTTTCCTTTGACCAAGATAGCCATGTCTTCTGCAAGATTCCCACTTCTGGTATGCATGAGCCATGACAGCTACCACTTTTAGTTTCCTTACTTTCACTTAAATTGTGTATTATTACAATATGTAAGGGTATATGCATTCACACATACTTCATTCCTACACACACTCCCCACACACCGTTTTTATAGATACAGGAACATCTGCATGTCTTGTACATGCTTTTGAACACCATGTAAAATTGTAACAAGTTAGATAGGCATGGTGGCCTTTATCTTCTAACCTCTGGAAAGTAAACAAAGGTAAAATTTTGCAACATGAATTTTTCAGCATTTTAGTGTTTGGACTCAAGAAAAACCTGGACTCAGCTTTACCTATGGAGCCATAGGTAGTGAGTCTGTAATAACAAACATCTTTTTTGGGGGTGTGTGTTAATATACTTGAACTAATGGTGCAAGTTCTTGGCAGTCAATATTTGATATGTACATCACTTTAGTGAATGAAGAATAATATGCTAATAGCCAAAGTAAAATATAAGTTACTTCATTATAAATAGCATGCAGTGCTTTATCACTTTTTATGTAGCCAGTGTGATTTTTGTTACGAGTTGCAATGATTGGAGGGGACTTTGATCTACAGGATGTTCATGTGACTGCCCTTGTGTTTCCTTGGAAGGCTTTTTTTTGTTTGATGGATGGTGCTTCAGTCCCTGCACTGTGAAATACCTTGTAGGTCTTGGTCTTCTGATAACTTTAATTTCCATGCTATTTTGCATTAAAAAGTTGTTTTGTTTATGACTGTTAGTGGCTCTGTAGTTTTCCTCACATGACCTCAGTAAATAGGGTTTTCAGCACTCATGATACTTAGTACACTGTGCAGTGGTCTGGGAGCTGTTAGTAATTATTTTTGAGAGGCCACGGAGAATGTGTGGTGTTTCAGAAGGACTGGGAAAAAACAAATGTAGTGATTGTCAATTATCAGTACGGGCAGAGAGAGGATTTGTTTACAGACTTCTTTGCTTAAATTACAGTATTTCCCTGAGAACTGGATAACCAAACTGTTCATAAGAATCTAGAAGACAACGAAGTGATGAGTAATGGTTACTGCTGATTTAGTCGAGAAAAATCACATTAGGCCATCCTAATTTCCTTCTTTGACAGGATAACAGACCTTGTGAATAGAGGAGAATCATCCATCTTGGTGCCATCTGTCATGTCGCATCTATCATGCCATCTCTCAAAAGCCCAGCTTTTGGCATGTTCTTGTATGAGGTTTATAAGCAAGCTAAGGAAAATGTGATTGGAGATTAAATGGTGATGAAATGAACACGTAGCTAGCTGGAAAACTGTTTTCTTAATTGTTAGTGGCTCAGAGAGAGAGAGAACAAGATCTCATGGTGGATCACGAGCCCTATCACTGAGCCCTATCCTGAGGCTTTGAAGTAGGTGCTTTCAAGTATGAGTTATTGGCGAGGGGGGTTGGGGAGTTTTGTTCATTTGTTTTGGTGGTGATCCTATGAAGTATGCTTTTCTGGACTAAATCTTGTTAACTCTGTAGAGTTCAAATGTCAGTTTTAAATAAAATTTTTTTTTTTTTTGAAACATTGGCCAAACCTATCATTTTTTTTCAACTATAAAACAGTTCTTCCAAGCTGAGAATTCTTCTTTTATCTGTCATCTCTCAGTGAAAGGCTGAGACGTAGCTATATTCAGATAAGTTCTCTTGTGATTGTTTTTCAGTGTGAAGTAGCTAGTTAGAAATACTTGCTACAAGTTTGCTTGGTATCAGCTGGCTTTATTAATAACTAATGTCTGAGTCCTTCAGGGACTTCTGCACATGGTGGCTATTAAGCATTGCTAATTCTGTTGGCTCCTGATTGATTTTTAACTTTCAATAAATGTGGAAGCTGAATGTTTATAACCAAGGAAATTACTGTACAATAAAATTTATTCACAACACTTCTGTTAGCATATGAATGCACCATAAAAGGTGCATGGCTGTCTGCCATGTATTAAAGTAAGCATCCATTTGGGTCTCGCAAGGTCTGCATATAACTTTCAAATGAAACATAATATTCTCTCTGCAGTTATATTTACTTTTTAAAAAATTATTTTCATTGGATTTGCTCAGCTGTTACACATTGAAGCCTTGTGGGTTCCTGTGTTGCATAAGAGAAATAGTCCATATCTGTCTGTTCTGTTATTCTGCAAGACATAAACACTTGTATTTGAAGCAGTCCTAAAGACAGAACTGCCAGTTACAGAATATATAAAAATCTGCTGTTGTCACAGTGAGGCTGAACAATCATAACTTGGCTTCTTACAGAAGTGAGTCAGAAGCTGTGGTATGTCTGTGAGAAACAGGAAACATGGAATTCCTTGGCAACATGTGCAGAGCTCCTATCAGGCAGCCACATTTTGTAGGGAAAGGGGCATTCATACTCAATAGTATTTTTATACTGTGCCATATTATAATGTTCCATTTCTCTACAAAAGCTCAATATTAATTAATGATAGTTTTACCAGTGAAATAACCTCTTTATAAGCTCACAACTTCAAACAAAAGAAATATCTTTACTTTTTCTCGCTTTGCTGTATTTATAAAATGATTGTAATATATATTTGGCCATTCTTAATGGGTGGTTGCATGAAGAGGGTAACTGACTAATGCCCGAATTGTTATCTTTAGCTTTGTGGAACGTTCCCCCCTCCCCTCTGCCCTTTTTTAAAATGGAATATCTCTGCTAAAGTAGCAGAGCTGGTAACTTGAGTTTGTTCATTAGGTGCGATGCACTCTAGGTAATTACTCTTTTTTTTAAAAAAAAAAAACACTATTGTTTGAAAAATCTTAAGCATATTTACAGAATTTATATAAGGTGGGTTTTTTTTTCCCATCCCCTTTAGACCAACCTATGATGACATGCCACTCCCCGTCACTCCAGAGGCTGCTAGGATTGCTCGCCTGTCCGCAGAAGAGATGGAGAAAAAGAGGAACAGAGACAGTCAGGAGATTTCCAGCAAAGATCAGGAGTCCGTTGGTGAAATATGCTCTTCTGCTCCATGCCTGTCTCATGAGAGCACAAAGAACACTTCTGTAACACAAGCATTTATTCAAAAACTAGAAAGAGGGCAGGAACATGTTATAAGAATATCCCAGCAGTCTATGGGCATTTGTAGCAATGAGAAATTGGATACCCTGAAAGGTGGTCAAATTGCAAATCATAGCCGTGAAGGCCAGTTTACAGCTGTGAGCCCTGTACCTCAGCGTTTTTCTGTCAGTCCTTTAATCCATAGTTCTTCTGTTAATCATAAAACAGGAAAAAATGTTAGGCATTTGGCAGCATCAAATCTGATTCCGCGTAGTGGATGTGATAAAACAGGAATGGAGGTATGCAATAGTGATGTGTTACTGAACCCATGCTTGAATCCTGCTCCGGCACTGGTTCACCCAAAATGCCCTTCAGTTTCTCATCAGAATCCTATGTGCAGCCACAGCCATTCTTTATGTATTACCTCAGGTCAATCTCTCTCAAAACGAGATGGTTTAGAAACTCAGGATGAAACTTTGGTGTCTGATTTCCATCTCAGGGATACTGTGGGTATCAGCAGCTCCCTAGATCTTGGGACATCCCCACAACTAGCAAGATGCAAAAACATGAAGACAAACAGAGGTGATGAAAGTTCAGTGGATGAAACTATTGAAGATGTTATTTTGAAATACTGCCATGGAACTACATCTGAAGAAATTTCTTTCAAAGAGGAGAATAATCCCTGTTTAACTTTTTCATCACTTCTGGACCATACTCATTTAGAGGGTTCTGAAATGAGTTTTGACTGTGATGCACCTATTCAGGCAGGAACAGACTTACCCAAGGCAGCTAGAAAAGATATAGAATTCCTAAAAGAGGTCCAAATAAGTTTGCAAGATAAAGACTATGGAACACAGCTCTCTTCTGTTTTAAAAAGTGAGTCAGTAGAGAAAATAGAAGCAGTGAAACAGGATGTTGTAGTTCATACTGAAGAACCAGTTCTTCCAGCTCTGCCTCATGTGCCTCCTTCTTTTGTGGGAAAGACTTGGTCTCAAATAATGTATGAAGATGATATAAAAATTGAAGAACTTGTGCGTGATTTCAGGGAAGGTCGTTTTCGCTGCTACTTTGACAGTGAATCCTCAGCCAACTGTACAGGGAAGAGAATGAAGAAAAAAAAGCAGAAGGATGAAAAAAAGAACAATATTGTTGAGGGTAATAGAACAGAAAGTGCATTGGTTAAAGCATTGCCAGAATTTAATGATGCTTTAAGTGGTGGCTCTGATTTTGATAACCCATCTTTAGCCTCAGATACACTATGCAACCCACAAATTCTTAAAATGCCTAGGAAAAGGACATGGCGCCTGGCTTCAAGATGCCAGGTGGTTAAAGTCAGCCATGGCACCCAAACAAGTCTATTGAACTACCCTGTAGCAAAAAGAAAAATGTCTAGAAGGGAATCTGATCCAGCTGATCAGAAAGCAAGCATCGTGTGGCCGGAGAATGAAAAAACTCCAAACATGAAAACTAGACTATGTGCCCTTAAACTTCCTGAATCCTATAGCAAGATTATGAGTCCTGTACAGCCCAAGACAGTGGTGTATGTACTTTCGTGCCCAGAGATAAAACAGTGTAAAGGTAAACCTATAGATATTCCCCAAATGAGGAAAAATCGTAACTCCACAGATAGCAAGGACTCTGTAAGGTATAAATACAAACAGTGTTCTTTTAAGTATTATGACCCACTGACAAATCGAATTCTGAAAACGCCTCCAAAGAGTACAGTTGGAGAAAAGGCCAAAAAGCCCTCCCATGTTCGACAGCTTTTCAGAAGTCTCAGCTTTGATGCAAACATGAGGAAACTAGCAGATGCACAGAGAGAAAGCACACCATCAAAGTCACTCAATTGGCCAGACTTCTATAGTTCATCTTCAGCATCTTTCCTGCCAGATCCAGGTAAAGGGAATGATGCAGCATCAAGTCAAAAGGCAGATGGATCTTCTGTTTCCACAGAAAGAACAGATTGTCTGGTATCTGGTCAGTCTGAGAACTCTTTTAAACACCTGATCATTTCACCTTTGAACTCTCACCAGTCTGCGGTAGAAGGAGATAGTAGATTAACACCATTTTACAGTAGAGTTACCAAAACTCCTCTGACCTCCATCAGGAGTGAGTGGTTAGAGAGGGAGAATCCAAAGGCGATATGGAAGAGAAAAGAAGGCACTAATAAAGAACCATTTTTTTCCAAAAAGGCTGCAGCACCTATGTCTGTCAGATGTACTGTTGGGAGGAGAGGAAACAGAGTAACCGCAGGCAAACAAACTTCCAGAACTAAAAAACAGCAAAAAGAGGGGATGCGAAGGAAACTTCGTCCTCGTGCCCAGAAATCTTCTGCTTTCTCCATCCATAGGTGCCAGACAAGGAAAACTACAGTGGGAAAGCACCTTAAGAAAGAAAAGCCTGATGCTAAAAAATTAAAGGTGAGGAGGAAACCAAAAAGGACCTTTCTGAACTCAACAGTTGTCACAGGGATTCCTGAAAAGAGGCAGAAAGTCACATCGGAATCTTTTCCCAAGAAGCCAGAGCGAGCTTCTTCCAAAGTTAGGAACTGGGAAGTAAGTGGAGATCGGGGTCACCCTAGCACTGTGAACCAACCCTCTAGAAGAACTTCTGCTGTACCGTTACTTCGAAACTGTCTTGTTCTACCAGGTGAGAGCTAGGTACCAAAAGAGCTTTTTTTTTTTTTTTTTTAATAGCCAGCACCTGGAAAAAGATTGAGGAAAAGGAGAGGGAACAAAAGGAGGTCATAGACGAAGCAGTTGAAGTGCTAGAGCTGCAGAAAGTGCAAAGCCAGTCTAATGTGAAACAAGTACAACTGTAAACTTGGCTCTTGTTCCTGGAATATGGGGACATAATGTATTGCACTGGTCTACTGTGTAAAGCTGCAGAAGTTGTGCATTTGAGTTAAAAAGCACTTAGAATCCTATTTACTAGACTTCACCTGTACGTCAGAAAAATGAGCTTGAATAGTATCATATTGGTTTTATGGTATTATCAGTGCGTAATAGTGCACTATAATAAGGTAAATTAGAAGCTGTATTAATTAATTGTGCCTATTCTCATTTTTCCACGTAATTCTAAAGTGCAAAAAATGGCTCAGTTGTTATGCTAGAAATTAAATGAAGATACATTAATCTGGGCTGAATTCTGTGTATGTATTTTGCGTTTGTGTATATGCACACCTCCTTCAACAGGTAATATATACTTGCCTATGGAGTGGCATTAAAATTAATACAGTATGATACAATTCAGATCAATTCAGTGCTTTCTTGAAATGAAATGTAATTGTACATGTTTTCATATTGACTTTTTTCCCTGAAACCGTGTCCAAAGCAGTTATTTAGTACAAAAAGTCACTGCGGGCTCTCATCAAGCAATAATGGACCATGCCGGTAAGGAAATATGTCTCTCTAGGGCACTATTCAAATGGTGGTGGTTAAAGTGAAGTCTCAAATTCCAAAAGAAATACAGGCTTAGGGTTTGGGTTGGGTTGTTGGTTTTGGGTTTTTTTTTTCTCTTTTTAAATGGCTTATTGATTAAGTTTATAGGTGAATTTCACATTCCTTAGTGGGGGGATGGCAAAATTATAATACAAACAAATAGCAGTGAGTTGTTCTAGAATTTCAACCTGAAATTTGAGTTTCTGTGCTTTTTTGATTTTAATTGGGTGTACTGTTGGTTACGTTTTTATGTACTATAGTTGAAACTTTCTTTTTAAACTTTCAGTAAAATATTTAAATAAACCTAAAGCAGCATCCATCTAAATGTATTAGAGTTCAAATATCTGTTAAACAGGTATTTAAATCTGCTTAAAAATATTTAGTTGAATTAAAATTATATTCCTTAGTGATTCATGTTTGGCCACTGATGCTCTAACTACTGTGATTTTATGGCAAAAAATACCATAATATTGTTTTTTAGTTTTTTCAGGGTTTTTTTAATAGTTATTATGCTTATTTAATGTGTTTAGGAGACATAAACCCCAGTCTTGCAGATGTTTCATGTTTCTAAAATCCAAGATTAATGTTTAGGAGACATAAACCCCAGTCTTGCAGATGTTTCTATGCTTTAAAATCCAAGATTAATTGTTCATTTGTATTAAGTTAAGCATATAGTTAAACATCATCACAATCAGGGCTCTGGTTTGTAAATCTCCAATTTGGTATATTATATTATCTATCTTACTTTAAAGGTCTTTGAAACATAGAAAAGAGCAGACCCTGCTCTCTCTGCCATTGAACGTGATATCTGTGCATTTTCCCTTGACAAATCATTCTTGATTCATTTTCTGAAGTGTCAATTGTTGCTGGTTTGGATTGAGATAAAGGTGGACTTCGAAATATACAGTATCTGAAGGAAATATAAAAGCTGTCATCATAATCCATGTGTTCAAAAAATATTTTGGGGATTTTTCTAATGTATGTGCATATTTCCCAGGATAAATAAAAGATGTGCATGTACTTAAGTCAGCTGGAAACTAAGTTCCTTTACGAGTCAAATATGGTCTGACAGATTTTTGAAAATTTTTTTAATTTATTTTATTTTTGAAATGAAAGTTGATTTCTATGGATGAATTTTCCTATGGTTGTCAGTAGACACAGAATCTTATGACCATATGGCAAGTCACTGGAAAATGAAGGGTTATAATATGAGTTCTTGCAGCCCTCTTAACTAATTGTGCCTGTATAATTTAATATTTCTTCTAATATAAAACTGATTTTTTTAAAGCAAAGTTTTAAAGGAATGGTTTTTATAGAAAGGCTAATTTTTAGATAAAGCAAAAGAAGATTTTTAAATAAAATTTGTTTTAAAGCAAAGCTTTAAATTAACTCTATAGATAAGTCCCATTCTAACATTTTTATGATACAAGAATGTTTTCCTATCTAACTTCTTCCATCTTATTTTTTGCAATATTGTACACATGAAGAGCATGAATTGTTGTGTGTGTGAATAAGGTTTAATGCACATTGTACTTCAAGATCACTAGTGCATATTTGTTTACAGCCAAAAATACTGTTCTCCATACTCATTCATTGCAAGCTTGTGTTTCTCCAGCACACAACTTTTCCTTGAAACTTTGAGTAATAAAAATATCTTGAGGACTATAGAATGACTAATATTTTTAGCCTGTAATGTCTTTTTTTTTGTAAATAATAGACCCCCTTGTCAGGGTGGTTTTTTAAAAAGAAAAATGTATTATTTAAATAAAAGTGTAAGTAGCTATATATTTTCCTTAAACAAACAAACAAACAAACAAAAAACCCCAAAAAAACCAAGAAGTATGAAATGTAACAATTAAAAAAAAAAAAAAAAAAAAAAGACTTGGGGTACAAGTCTGGAAACGTTTCTGTGGTTGACAGTGTCAAAAAAGATTTACTGTAAGCTTGGGTGTTATTGTATGCCTCACTTCTGACTGTTTCGACACCTCTTCTGTGCATGCTCAGTGACTACAAGGAAAAAGAGGGGAGATTGTGATGTGAGAAGTAAATGTAGAAACTGCTTTGGGAAGAGAATTGGTGAAGATAGGTGCAAAACAAAAAATTGCAGAGACACTCAAAATATCATGTGCATGAAGGAGAAAAGACGTTTTCTGGGGTCTTGAGGAATTAGTCAAACACTTCCCTATTAGAGAAATGATACAGATTCTGCTGCCATTATTGAATAGCATATTGTTTCATTAGCAGCGTGGCTGAAACTTTGAAACATGATTGTGAAGTCTACACCAATGGAAGACTTCAGAGCTGAAATACTTTCTCACTGAAATTGATGGGAGGGTTGGCTGGTTTGGGATGGGGTTTTCTTATTTTTTTGGTTTTTAACGTTGGTGGACAAAAATGTTTGTCAGTATGTTTGCATGTCTTAATCTAGAGAAGCAGGAAAAAGTAACTGGATTAAAGAGGAATAAAGTCATGCCTTTTGAATCTAATTGGCAGCAATTAGATGCAGGATATTTTATAATAGTTGAGAAAAATGTTATCATTTCTTCTTCCATGCATATGTAATTTTGACCTTCTGCAAGTTCATACTTAGGTTTTTTATACAGTTCATAGTTTAAAAAAAGTCTCCCCCCCCCCAAAGTACTAATTCAACCTTTTAAAACAATCTCATTCTAAGCAGCTTGATTTTTACTATTTACTTCTATTGTGAACTTTGAGTGTCACCCAGACTCATACTGTGCCAGGTGCTAAGCAAACGTAGACTAGCAAGTCCCCAAAACTTTAGATGTCCAATGCTAGCACCTAGCAGTTCTTCAGTTCCTTTTCTGATAGGGTTTTTTGCTTTCTAGTTCTTTCTGACAAGTTTGCATCCAATGTTGTAAATTGTAGTATGAAAGCGCTTCTCTCTGGGACTCAGATAAAATGAGGCATTTAGTTGTATTTATGATGAGACTATGACTTAATCTGAAGCTGTGTTTAAGTTTCATGCTAAATTTGTGCCCAAATTAGAACATGTGTGTTTGTGGTTTTCACGTTGTCTTAATTGGTCATGTATTTTGCAATACTCTTGCTTGGTGCTGTAATTTTTTATCTGCTTCTCTGTCTCTGCTGTCTGTGGTCATTTGACACAATGTGAGTTTGCAAGAATACATTGATATTACAAACTTGTCCAGTGCTATTGCTGGATGTTCTTTCTTTTTATCTTCAGCTCATTTAATTTCAGATTTATTGTTTCCATGTTTTTCCTCAGTCATGCATTTGGATTTTTTTTTATGTTGTGAAGAGCTAAATCACAGGACAGGATATTCTGTTTGGAAGGAAATTGGTGACAGGTAACAGAAGCGCATGGTCTCCTGATCTGAAGTGTAGAGGACAAGATGCTATATGTGCTCTTGTGCTTGGGAGTCTGCTTACTTCGCTGAGTAGTGCAAAACGGGAGTGGGATGATGATTCTTGATTTCTTTAGCTGTCTTCCTTTCGCTTTCCCCTAGGGTAACTCTGCCTGAGAATGGAGTAATCTGAATTCATACTTATTTTGAAATAGAACAGTGTTTCAACTGTTGACGTTTTGGGGACAGATAGGAAAAGTAAAATGTAGCTCACTTGCTAGTGCAATTAAAATCCCAGAATTTTTGTCTTTAATGATTTATCTGCTATGAACTACAGCCTTCCTGATAATCTTTTTCAGAAAACTTTGTAGTAGCGTAGGTCTGAGCATGCCCAGAAGCAAAGGTTTTGTTCCTTGTTTGCTTATGTTTTGCAGTTATGAATTTATTCATTCCTTCAGCAGAACAAATCTTGTTTTAATAAAATAAAGACTGACTTTGCATTTTTGTAGTTTCTTTATTCGTGAAGTGGAATTTAACTTGAAACTATTTGCTATAATGTGTTGTGAAAAGAACACAGAATGCTATGGAATAAACTACTACTTTGAAGAAGGCCAGTCATAAACAGCTGTTCACAACTGTATGATATCTTGACCCAGTGAAGTCTTCTGTTGACTTCAGTGAAGCCAAGATTCATCCCCTCCTGTGGCAACTGAAGTAATGACATCCTAGGATGGCATTGAAAAAGCGTCAGATGTATTTGAGGTGTCTAATTGCATTTTGGCAGCAGGAAACCAAGAAGCACCAACCACACGGCAAGCCAGATCCCTGCAGAACTTACTCATGAACAGTTTTTTTTCAGAATGTGCACTTAATAAATGGGGGCGGGGGCTGGAAGTATAATGTTAAGTAGCTTTCTATTTTATGCAGAATGGATTGGCTTCTCTGTAATCATAGACCAAATCAATCCTGATTATGGCCATACAATGCATGCAGAACTGTCTTCAAAGCTGTGTGCAAAAATACTTTTAAGAAATTTTTCTGGTAAATAGAATACTAGAATACCTTGAACAATAGAATACCCTGTGTAGAATACCTTATTTTTTAAATTTAGTCGTTATTTGCTGTTTGTAACGGTGCCTGTTTAAACCAGCATGATGTTTTGCAGGAGCAATGCACACAGATGTGTCAGTTTGGATCAATAAATGGCTGAAAGGCATAGGTATATTGTTTCCTGAGGCCTCAATATGTCATAAAATTTCAGGACACGCTTTGCAGTTTTCAACCCATACTTGAAGATAGCTATGTATTATGTAGTTGGCTGAATGAAGTTACTACTGTGCTGTCAATAATTCATTAAAGACATAAAGGATTGTTCAACCATCTAAATATTTAGTTACAAACATGATACTGTAATAAAATTTTAAGTCTGGTGATTGCATCTTTCGTGGAAAATATAAGCAGTTAATGATAGGCTTATAGAGTGTCAAGTACAGTGGAAGTCCAGTTCAAGTTGGAATATTTGAGAGTTAGGATGAAATTAATAACGTGGTTTTAGTTGGCTTTGGATTCATTGGAGTCATTAATGGTTTGATACACAAAATTATTGTGTTTCTGTGGTCCTGGAAGTCATAATGATTTTCTTGAAGGGCAGAAGCGTTGTTTTTGAGGAAATGTATGAACACAGATCGCTATTACAGCTTATGTGATTTAACAGTGTCAGTGATTCTAAACCCAGGTGCTTTTTTTGTCAGTGTTCTTTCCTTAAGGAAAACTGAAAAACAGTTCCTCCCAAATACTAGCATATGTAAACAGGTTTTTAAATCTCTCACATCCTCAAGTAGAAATGTACTTTAGTGTACTAAAGCTGGTCAGCTTTTCATATTTGCTGTGTCATATGGTATTAATGTTGGTACGGGTGCAACTGAAAATGTTGATTATAGTTTACTTAGTCATTATTAATATTGTACAAGCAAATTGCAGGATCAAAACACACCCTTGCTAGCTCATGCAGAGAGCTTAGACACTGTCTGCTGGCCTGGAGATCGTGCTGTAAGAATTAACAGTGAAGGGGGTAGGTGTAGTTCTTGGCATATGTGTCGCATCCCTTGTGGATGCAATGCATGTGCATGACTTGCTTTTTATTACACTAAAGTTTTAAGATGAAGAGGGAGGTAGAAGTGAGGAGTAAGACTTAAAGATGTAGTACAGATTTGGAACTAGACCAAGGAATGTTCAGTTTTGGTTCTTTTTTTA